AATGGAATACAGCGGAGCAAGAAGAACGTTAAAATGGGGCACTCAACTTTCTCACTATCAACAACTAAGCACATATAGTTTTCCTTTTTAGTACAAGTGCTTAATAATCAACCTTTTGAATTTTAGGGATGCATAATAAATTGGATAAAAAAGATCACACTACTCACAGGTCACACATGACGGTTAGTGTGACACTTGTCTTATGTTAAGGTAGATCACATGACAATTTTCATATAAAAAGATTCATGATAATTTTTGTATAAAAAGATTTGATTTGATAAATTTTATTTTATTTAACAATAGCATTTTTCTTTTTTAAAATTACTCACATAGGGTAGCTGCCAAACTGTGAAAAATTGGATGTTAGCATAGGAAAGCACAATGACATCACATGTAGCACATACTCTTGGAGAAGAAAAAAAAATTATTTGGTTAATAAAAAATTAGAGGAGAAAGGATGGATTTTCTCTTCTTTTGTTTTTATTTTTTTATATTTTAATTTAATCAAATAAGAAAAGAGAAGAGAAATGAATGAAGAGAAATGGATGGATAAAAATACAATTTTCCTTTTATTTCCTTCAAACCAAAGAGTTTCTACAAAATAGAAAAAAAGTTAAGGGGCTAGTTTGCCATATGAAAAAACTTTAAGAGCTCAATTACCAATGGTGAATAAGTTCAAGATTTCACCTGCCCCCTCCCCCCCAACCCCCCCTGTTCCCCATTTTTCATTCTGTTACTATTTTTTTTGATGTATTCATTCTGTTACTATTTTATTGGTGAATAAGTTCAAGATTTCACCTGCCCCTCGCCCCCAACCCTCTTTTTTCTCCTTTTTTTCATACTGTTACTATTTTATTTAAACCATATATGCCAGTTTTATTGGGATTTTATTTATTCTCCAAAGCATTCCAGCTGGGGGACCAGCTATGCCATTTGCAGTTTACTCTATGACCAGATCAAACTCGGCTTAAAAACTGGACCAAATCAAGCTCGGTCCTTTATGGACAATCAACAGTCATGGTGGATGGTAAATTGAGCGTTGGCTCACAGTTTTTTGAAAGCACATACCTCCAAGTAAGGATTCAAAATTTGATTGATAATACTCACCAATTGTTAAGTACATCGCAGTCCGGGAGCAAGACATGACTGTCTATAGGAAGAGGAGTAACAATAAACTAACAAAAACATGCCATATTGTGGGATATTACCTACATTTTTCTTCTCTACACTATTTGGAGATGCCTTTTGGACTAATCTGTACAAGCCAACTGTTAATTTTAGTTGAGTATTAGGTGTGAAAAGAAGATGAACAAACTACAAAGTAGGTAGCCCTTCTCCGATGTTGATACTCACACAGCCGCCCTCAAATGGCATGCTTGTCTGCCTAGACCCCCTCTCCTGCTGCAATGGTTGTCTCTTTACATCTGTAGCTTCTAAGATGAGCTCTAATTATTCAACAAAACAACCTTCTTCGCTGCAAAAGATCATCTTTAGATGAATAGAGCATCAAGATCAGAAGTATATGCTATGGAACAAAATTACATCAACTCAACAGATTTTTGAACTTGCAATAATCACTTGTTCGGGTCATCTCTGAAACAGTGGAACATTTTCCTTTTCATAAGCAGGCTAGCATACAGAATTCCCTTTAAAAGAAGCTAATCTAATGCAAAATCTATCATCAAATATACTGGTATAACGAGTAACTTACATGACATTTGGATTCTCGTAAACGTTCCAACCAGTCCGTAATCTGAAGTTGCTTCATCACAGTAGCATGTAGTACCTATGAAATAACATGATCGTCAGAAAAAAAAAAAAATGCCATGAGCAAAATTGGAAAACTGTCTTCAAATAAGTGAGACATACCCTCTTTGTCTTCTCAAGGTCTAACTCAACCGACTTGATCCTGTCCAGAGAATCCACAAGCATTTTCTCCTTTTCTAATGGAATTTCAGGAGGTTTGTTGCTAAGCTCCTCAAATGCTTTGTCTAGTTTCTCAAGACGCTCCATACATGGAAGCAGATGATCTTCTTCATTCTCAGCTTCAGTGGCTGATGAATTGATATTCATGTTGGATTGTATCTGATTGGAGGGATGAATGTTGTTCAGCTTTCTCCAAAAGCCAACCAAATTGGCAACAAATGTCATTAGCATGCCTGCCACACAGTGAATAGTTCTTCTATCAACCTTCTCCTTGAGTGTGTTAAACCATCGGATGACTGAGGCACCTGAGACTTGATACAGAGTAAGACATCAATTCCAAAGAGAATGATAGGGTCAGCAAGTATTAAAAGCTTTAAACAGCAAGCTGACCACCAATTTTTGACAATAATGATACGAGTATACCATTAAGATATAAATTCAAAACATATTTTATGAAAAAGAGAAAATTTCTATGATAAATATATAACAGTTGAAAGACCTTCTGAATTTGATGAAGATTCTTCTTGGTGATGGATGCTGTGTATATCACTTGACTTGGGCAACTGATCCTGAGACCATTGCACATTTTGTTCACTTTCTATAGTTTTCTCATCTAGAGGTAGATTATCATCATCACAACTGTAGTAAGCAATGGGATCTGATATCTTAACCTGCATAAATCAGAATCCTGTTATGTCCAAATGGCAGGCACAAAGGCATTTTTCTACAGCAGAACAGGGGAATTATTTTGCAACCAACCTCTTCGTGAACTGGAGCTAAACAAGGAAATGCAAAACTCCTTCGCTCAACTGGAGAACAAGGATCATCAATATCTGACCCTGATTCTGCAGCCGATGTGTCACTAGTCCTTCCCTGTTAAATGAATAATATCTTAAACCACCTAGAAACAAAACCTAATCATGGGGCATCAATATGCTTTGTAATTTTGAGACTTGGATTACCTTTAATGGCCGTATCCGAATGTAGGAGTCATGATCTAGCTGGTCATTAAATACCCTGGTGATCTGCCTACCAAATATTCCTTGTGCATTATTGACAAGCTAGAAACAAAAAGGCCTAGGTTAGTATACAATGCCAGTCTCAGTATTCAATCAAGTCTGATAGACAATACATTATTAAGGGGAAGAACCAACAATAACCTAAAGTCATAAAAAAATAAAAACAAGACAATTTCAGTAGAAAGAATGACTACCTTCATTATCTCAGGATCTTTCCAGGGACCTTTATTGGACCTTAGACAACCTCCTTCAACTGAACAAGTGCATGAGCCGCCCAAGAAGTCAGGCAATTGACTGAAAATGGATGAAGAAAAAGTAAGGGAGGAGTTGGCAAGAATCATAGGTTGTGGTTTTCAAAGAGGCAGAAATAACTAATGATATGCAAACCTTGAGTCAATGACGTCCAGTAGCTTATGCAGAGATTTAGGTTCCATAACCTGCAGTTTATGAATCAAAGCCTCAGGCAAGGGTTTGGCAAATGGTAATAAGAAATGTATGCTTAAAGCCATATCCTTTACCTGTATCTTTGCAATTGTCTTTGGATCAAGAAATTTCTGGGCAGCAGGCCAAAGCATCTTTTTGAATCCAGAACCAGCATTGACAATGTACATCCGGTGTAATGTCTGCAAAATAATGCCAAGAGTAATTACTGCCTGACAAGCTGCAGGAAGGGAAAATCAATGAGCAGACTCAGATACCTCAGGGTAGTAATTGTTATCTATTTTAGTCATGGCAGCCAAAAGATTTGCGGCAGTCACACTAAAATTCTTCATGCCCTACAATTAATACAATGTTAGTGACCACTAAAAATCCTACAAAGATGTTGTAAATAATATATATATATATATATAATGCCAGCATTAAAGGTAAACAATATCTTGCTACTGGAGGTCTGGAACCTAAATGATAGACATTAGAACTCTTTAAGTCATATAAATGATAATTACTTCCCACCAGCATCACTAAGAGCAACAATGGCAACAAATTGCTGGTGTAAAATACTGTCAGCATTAAAGGTAAACAATATCATGCTACTGGAGGTCTGGAACCTAAATGACAGACATTAGAACTCCTTAAGTTATATAAATGATAATTAATTCCCATCAGCATCACTAAGAGCAACAATGGCAACAAATTGCTGGCGTAAATTGCTATGTTAGTGATGTCATATCTTCAATTTGGTTATGGCTGTACAGATAAGAGTGCATACCAATCCCTGTACATCCAATACAGTCGTGGTTGAACAAATCCGTTGCTTTGCTGCAATGGAACAAGCAGGGAATTTCTCCTGAAGAGCCCTCTCAAACTCTTGGACGTGGTACTTGAGATATCGTTCAATGGTAATGATCCGCATAAGCTTGCTGGGATGGGCTTTCCCAAGCCTCTCAATGTAGACAGGCCTCCCTTCCTTGTCAACTCCATGATAACCTTGGGGGTAATATTGCAAGACTTGTTCCAACTCTTGAAACTCAAAATCCTAAGAGACAATAATATAACAAACGGGCTAAGCAGTGAGTGAGTGTAGAAGCAAGAATAAACAAGAGTAGCTTTGGTGAAGTATTAATTAGTGTTCCCCAAATGTAATGTTGTGACCTGCAGTATGGTATCTGTTCCATATTCCTTCCTCCACCTAAGCATCTCCTCCCACATCTGGCTTGTTTTTTCAATGTTAAAGTCTCTAGCTTTTAAAAATCTACAAGTTGGAAGTGAGTAGAGGAACATCAATATTAAGAGAAAAGCATTGAGCAAATTAAGGGTGAAAGTAAAGGGTAGGGAGTAAATTAAGAAAAGACCTCAACAAGGTATGGTAATCATCGTGTCTGGGAGGGAGCAAATCCCTGTGGAGAAGGGTTTGACGGAAATGAAGAACAGCAGTCTCCTCATTGGCATCCCTGACATCCTGAATAGAAAGTTGAGGTGGTAGGGCGGCGGTTGAGGAATCAATCTTCCTCTTGCCTCTTTTCTTGAGGGAATGAGTAAATCTGTTGGAAGCATTAATGGCCTTCTTTTTAAGATTCCCAATTTTGGAAGTCCTCCTCTCATCCTCCTCAGAGATGTCAAAGTCATCATTACCATGAACAACCACCCCTTTTGAATTGAATTGAAATTTCAATACAAGAATAATTAAAGCAAGACATGCAGTATATAGCATAATAGCTGCATACACACACCATAGAAATAGAAATGAACTACAACACATACCTGACATTGCAGTCCAGTGAGTGGTGCAGTTGTAAAAAAGACAAAAATGCTAATAATCTTGAATGTCAATTGTCAAAGGAGGAAAGGAGAACGGAGATGAATAATTTTCTCTAAATGGATCTGTTGTTAAATTAAAAATAACAGTATTACATATAGCTAGAAATAGAATTAAAGCAGAAAGCAAAAAGATTGAGAAACCAATCCAATCCAATCCAATGAAACAACAAAATTGGAGCTCAAAATAAAACTAAAGAGGGTACTTAAATCAGGCATAATATCACTGTGCATTTAATTTAACAGAAAATCCCGAACATGAGAACGGATCTGAAAAAAATAATAATAATAATTAAGAGTAAATAAATTAATCGAGTTTCTTTTTAGTAGTATGTATTTCTTTTCTTTAATTGGAATAAAAATTTTATCTTTTTTATGAGGATGAAGTGAAGATAGGGGTGAAAACCTATTTCCAACATGATTGATCATTGATCAGAACGAAAGAGTGAAGAAGGAAGGACCCAATCCATATCCATGACCAAGACCAATGATTGATTATGATAGAGAAGTTAATAATCTTAAATGCAAATGCAGATGCAGTTGCGGTTAGTATATTAGTATAGACGGAGAGATGAGAAAACAGTAGAAGAAGGAACCAACCTGATGAAACTGGCATTGAATTGAATGGCTGGCGGGCGACAGTAGGAGTAGGAGTGGGAGGAAGGATCTGGCATCAAAAACCCAAGATTTCAATTTCAATTCCAATTCCAATGAAACAAGAAGAGAAGTGGGGTTGATGGATCCAATTCCAGGCGATGAGAAAGGAGAAAGGAAAAAAAAAAAGGGGTGTTTCTGGTTGGGTTGGGAATGGGAAATGGGAATGAAGAGTGAAGGAAGGTTCCAGCTTTCTCTTTCTTTTTTGCCTGTGTGAGGTAGAGTGATGCATACGTGTCCCAATTACTAAAGAATCTGATTTTAATGGAGATTCTACTGAGATTTACAGGATGGGAAATGGGATGACAGGAGATGGGATTTTTGCTTTATTTATTTTTTTTTTATTTATTTTTTATTATTTGTAAGATGGGGTTTGGATGTTGAGGGTAAGGCAAGTCTAAGATGAGGGGAGAGGGAGGGAAGAGGGAGAGTGCCTTTGGAGAAAGAGAAAGGGAAGAGACCAGACGGCAGCGCCACCGGCGGCAGAGCCACACCATACAATACAATACACCCATGGCGTGCTCGATTTCGCCTTTTTAGATGCTTCACTTTCACAGCCTTCCTTTTTTTTTTTTTTTTCTTCTTTTACTAGTAATATTTTTAATTTAATATAATTATTACTTTAATATATGTCTGAAGCACGCATGTTGTGCGTGTTACACTAATTTTCTCTCTTATTTGTTTTTTATTATCATGTCATGTGTGTTGGAAGAATTTTTGTACATCTCCAATTAGTCCCTTCTTAGTGCACTTGTTATATTAATTTAATAATTTGTTTAAGTATTGTTCACAAAATTTAATTTATAAACTTACTCTATAAAATTATACTTACTAACCAATAGTTTAACCTCAGCTATTTTCTCGCTTTCTTTGTATTGCTCATTCTTGTCCTTTTGCTGTTAAAAAATTTCTACTTTGTTTGTTATTGTTATTAGAATAATGATAAATCGATCAAATTTTATAGAATTAAAATTTGAGACTAATAATATTATAGGAATTATTTTTGTTAAAATATTAAAAAATAAATTTCATATTATTTCTAATTTATTTATGAGTAATGTTTTTAAAGTATGAATCCACTTATAGACAAGTTTTATAGATTATATTTACATAACATTTTAATTATTCATCTTTTTATTTTTAATAATTGAAATTTATTCACATTTATTAAAGATAATTATTATTTTTACCTAAAGCTCGAAACAAATCTTAACCATTTAATGTAAAAAGATAAATAGTTAAAATTTTATATATGTATGGTATATAAAACTTACATGTGAATAAATCTCTCCTCAAATATTTATCATCCAATTTTTAAAAAATTAGTAAGAAGAACACTTTAAAATTATGTTGCATTATTAAAAGAGTTTGTTTAATTTGTGTTTTTAAGGGTACATGTTAAAAGTGTATTAAATATATATTTTTATCATAAATTTATATTAAAAAATAAAAATTAACCATTAATTTATCAACTGTCAAATTAATATTAACTTTTATATTTTTATATGTGTATTTATAATAAAAAATTAATACTTTTAAACTATGCCATAAAAGCATAGATTAAAAAGACCCTTACTAAAATTATTGAAAAAACTAGAATAACCTATTTTTGATTTTTCCCCTGATACTTTAAAGAAACAATATGGTTTTAAAATGTTTTTTGTCATAATTTTTTAGAAATTTAGTT